TCAAAACACCTAACAGAAATTGTTCTCTTCTTTTCAAAGATGATGTATTTACACAATGCAAGAGACGCTCTGTCCCTCGGACTTGCTTTTAAATAGAATAACGTATACGAACATAAAAACCAATCAGGAAAATGGCATCATGCTCAATACATTAAGTGGTGGAAAGAAGAAGAAAAGGAGGGAATTTGGAGTGATGGTTTGTCTTCCCAAGGAACTCCTACATGTGATGGAGCCCTGTTCTCCGAGACATGGCTGAACACCTGTCTGCCCATATGAAGCAGTGACTTTATTCCTCTATTCCTTTGCTTCTATGTGCAGCTTTTGCTTTCCCTATTAAATTATTTTTATCCTAACCCATGAGTTTTACAGCTTTTAGCCCTCCAATTCTCTACCTGATCCCACTGGTGGACCAGTGAGTGAGGAGCTGCATGGGGCTTGGCTGCTGTCTGGGGTTAAACCATGACAACCACAAAGAAAAGGAAATCGACTTTTCTACTGCTGAAAAAACAATCAGGTTCACACCACACACATACACACAAAAAATTCATGCCCGGTTTACTTGAAAAACTGCAGTGCCTGGCACTCCTGATTTTTAGTTCCTGGAGGAAAAATTGACATCTTCTACATCTAGAGAATTACTAATCAATTCAGCCACAAATGGAGAGTTATTAATATGTAGGTGTTGAGAAAGATCTTCCTGAAAGTTATTCTAGTGGATGATAAGTAGATGGCTCTGTGAACTCACTCCATCGTTGTGCAGATAAAGCAAACTACTTTTCACAATTCCCTAGATTAGAGAATGAAATAAATATATTCACAAAGAAAGAAATTGTATTGCAAGCTTTCATGTTTATAGTCACCTCTAGTGAGTCATGGTGGCAGTCCAGCTTGCAGTCTGATAATCACTGTGCAAGCTGTAGGGTACCAAGGTACCACAGCCATCAAAACGGGCAAATAACTAAGACAAATGAAGAGAGGAAGAAGCAATGCAAAAAATCACTGAGAGATAAAATATATAGCAGTCCATTATCTATATGTTACATCTTAATGCATACTGTAACATTTAATATATAGAGCATACCTTAGTAAGAACTGCCTCTGTGGTCTACAGTTCAAGTGACAATAGAGACTTTTTTAGCCCTGTAGAATAAAAACTGTTCTGTGTGGCCATTGCAATGCATCAGTATCAGGCAGAAAAGCCGGAATAAAAAAACCCACAAACTGAATGATCTCAGGAGCAGTTCAGTACAGTTATAACAGTTCTACATTAAATTGTCTGTAACAATTGGCTGTCATCATATGGTAACAATTCAGAGATATTGGGAAAGAATACTGGATTACAGGGAGGCAGAATTTTATAAAGCAAAAAGAAAGGAGTTGTTCATTTACCTTTTCCATTGTTGGTGTTCATTGTGTGAATGTGGCAAATGGCAATTGTATAAAATAGCTGACAATAGCACCTCAACAAAGGAGGGACTTCTTTAGTCTCCCCCCTCCCATGTTTGAACAGAGCTCCAGAAATGATGGCACAGGGTAATTTTTCCTCCCTGGAGTTGAATGGGACTGCAGCAAAGGATCCAGTTTCCAATCCTCCTACAAGGAAGAAGAGACACAGAAGAAATAACAAGAAACCAACCCAGAATGGGGACATGCTCATGCATTTACACACATTTAAAAAGAATTTAACTCTGTCCTTCACCATTTTTGGTCTATGCTGTCTGGTCTTTGAGCGAGGGGCTCACTCCAGATTTCAGTGATGTAGCAGAAAAAAGGTTTTCATCGTCCTTTTTTGTTGTATCTGTTAGACACTAGTCTAATAACCAGATTCTTCCTTCTCACTGTTCTCCACTCACCCAGCAGCCTTGGAATGGCAGCAGGACCTGACTGCTCTCTGTCTTGTGCCTCTCATGGGGTTGCCCAACTGGTACAGCATCCTGCACTTCAGTGTTCTGCCTACAGCATAAAGTAGTGCTGAATGAGAAATGCCATGACCAGTTCATAAGAAATATAAAGGCTGTTCATCTGCACTTCTTTGTTTTTGGGGAGTTACCTAGACACAGGTCTCACTGTACTGGGTGTAATATGGATAGAAGCCTGTCTGGCAAAATTATATAGTCATGAAATTCAGAGGAGAAAGAATACCAAACAGCATTGCCCTTCTTATACAAGTGAGAACTGAGGCACAGTTTCTTCTTCACAAAGATCAAAATGAACATCTGTGGCATGTAAAAGAAATAAATCTCAGAATAACAAGTCTGAGACTTTTCTTTCACGTGGGGGATAGCTGAGATACATGAAATGGGCTTTTTAGGGACTGACTTCATTCTCTGCCAGCAATAAGACCTCAAGGTGGTACATATTCTTTAATATGTTAAGCTCAGCTGATTTACATTGATTTTTTTTTTCAGTGTAGTAATTACAGATTAAGCATTACAGAGCATATTTTTACACTGATTTTGACACAATATTTTTGAAGTTCACGAATCTACTAAGTCTTGAACACTCTCCAGTGTATTAGACAACAGTAGTGATTTACATTATTTTGGAGCTGCAAATAAGTTCTAAAGGGTAATGGATTTCATATATAGAGATTAAAAGATAACATTTTTCATTTGTGCCTGGTGACTTCTTTCCCCCTATCATACTACATTTAGCAAAATGAATAAGGCAGAAAGGATGCCAGTGTATTTTTATGATAATTAATGTATTTTAATTTCAAATAGCATTTCTGAAGCTCAGATAGACTCCAAAAAAAGTGGTGCCAGGGCAAAACTAATGAATTTTAATTCTTTTCAGTATACTTATGCTTTCATGAATTCTTTTTGTTATATTCTGGTGCATGAGAATGCATCAGTAGGCACTCAGAGCATGCAGCCCACAGATCTGATTTTTACAGAAACCCAGCTTAACTTTTTTAGCTACATAATAATGTGCACCTCAGAAGTGTGTTATTTTTAGTGACCAATAGGGTATTAGCTAGAAAAACGCATACTTCAGACCAACTTTAAAAGATTTTTTTAAAACAACAGAATGTAAACAGCAAGTAGTCTTTCTGCACAAAGGATGCGTTTCAATGTTTTGTAGCTAAATTGTGTTATTCTTGGACTAATGTTAAGGGTTAACTAATGTTAATGACAAGGTGCCACTCTTGTCCCAGAGAGGCTGCAGCTAATAACTCACCCTTGCTGCAGTTACATTTCTTAAAGCACTTTGATCTGTCCCTCAGGTAGTTAAACTGAAACTTTACTGCACTAACTCTGCTTTTCCATATCTTGGAGCACCTTGAAAAACTCTTGGCTCCTTGGGAGTGCAAATGGTTTTGACCACACTGCTGTAAAACAGAAAAGTCCATGGTCTCTGCAGTTTGTCCAATACCGCTGAAGCTGAGCCAATGACCATATTCTGATACTGATGGTGAGGGGCACAAGAAGCAGCCTTGTCTGACATCATGGATTGCACTCCTTTAATCCCAGACAATTTTAGTAACAGTTCTTAGCTCCAGGCACAGATTCACTGGCCAAATACTGGCCTACTGTAATTTACTTGTGCATCATGTTGAGAGCAGGGCACAGTAAACTGGTCTGTCCTTTGTGCAACACTTGTCATACCAGCAATATAAAATCAATGACATTGTTGAGAAGAATTGTTGTTACTCATCAGATCATTTAATGATGCCTCTTTTTTTTCCTTCCATAACTGTAGCATACCTGGGTGCTTGTGCAAAGCAAGAGCACCAGCCATGATTTACTGCATTGCAGTAAAATCAACAATGCAGCATTCCCCAGAGCCAGACAAATCTCATATTTGATATGCTAAGTGAATAGAGAAAACATGCTCCCCCAAAATATTTTTAATCACATTACTGCATTTCTTGTTTGTAACCCTTCAGAACCCTCACTAAGTAAACACTGGTAACTCCTGAAACCAAAACATTTTTCAGAAATCTGATTTGAAACCATTTGTTTTACAAGTAACAAAGTGAATCACACTGATTTTTTCGAAATTCTTTCTTTTGGAAGAAGCAAAAAAGGACTTAATGAGAAGTTAATGGTAAGTCATAGGCAAGTTCCAACTGAGCAGAAACAAAATTTGAAACTAAAAATGTTAGATGTAAAAAAAAAAAAAGCGTCTGATTCCATCTAAGAGAAAATTCCCATAGCTAGAAAGCAAACTCTCTGTAGCTGAGAGTAAATTCAAACTTAGGATATTATTATCCGGTTATATAGAGCCATAGTTATATTTTTTAATTTGAAAATTATACATAGTTTAAGATACTGCAGAATAGGAAATATTTTTTTTTCTATGAAAAAATGGACACATTAAAACCTTTTTTCATACCTGTAAAATTGTGTTTTCTTCCCCAGGACTTCTTGAACTGTGATAGATTTTTATTTTGTTTGGTAGAAGTTTGGACATTGAATAAATATATTCTTTTCTAATTACATGATGATAAAAAGAATCTTGTAGTATTGAAATAATCTGCTTTTGGTGTATGTTTGCAGTTTGTTCCTGTCTGAAACATGAAGGTAAGAAAGACAACTCATTGTCTCAGCATAGTGGCAGGGATCTTCCTAACTGTTGAATACATGAGAAGAATGAAAATGAATGCTTGATGTAACTTAACCATTCACTCAATACAAAAAGCGATAGGCTTTGTGGACTGAACATTCATCTATACTCAAGGATTTCATAAGTTAGCAAATTTAGGTTTCAGGATTTCATTTAAAGCAAAAAAAAAAGAAAAAGTTACCTGCATGAAGATTGTGCAGATTGGTTAAAATCACAGTCCATTAGGGCCAAAGGGAGATTTCTTTCTGGAATAAAAGACATTTTCTATAAATATCAACACTATAAATTTTAACGTGAAAGACAAATGAATTTATAATTTGGAAATATATGCAAAGAGAGTATTGAAAAATATGAAATAGAAAACTTAGCCAAAGATTTTGGTTTAGAGCAGACTACACGAAATAACTTTTAACAGTTAAACCCTGCACTATATGGTAATTCTGCATTATTGTTCTAGGTACCTGGGAATAACAAGACCTCTTACGTACCCTGTAAGGCAGAACGGGAAGTGTATGGCCAAAATGATCCTGTGTGTATGGCTGTTATCTGCCTCGATCACCATACCCCCGCTCTTTGGTTGGGCCCAAAATGTAAATGACGAAAAGGTTTGTCTGATCAGTCAAGACTTCGGCTACACCATTTACTCCACAGCAGTTGCATTTTATATCCCAATGTCAGTGATGCTTTTCATGTACTATCAGATTTACAAAGCTGCCAAGAGGAGTGCTGCTAAACACAAGTTTACTGGTTTTCCCCGCCTAGAA